ATGTCTGTTGGTATCTGGCGTCGTCCATCTTGCCATTTCACCCCTAGGAATTGGATCTCTCGGGCAGGTCCCTTGACTTTGCTCTTCTTGATAGCGAAACCGGCCTCGAGGAGAATCTGGATGATCGTCTGCCCTTTTTTGAAAACTTCCTTTGCTGTATCCCCCCATACAATGATGTCATCGATGTACTGGATGTGTTCGGGAGCCTTACCCTTCTCTAGTGTGCCCTGGATCAGTCCATGACAGATGGTTGGACTGTGTTTCCACCCCTGGGGCAGTCGATTCCAGGTGTATTGAACGCCCCTCCAGGTGAAAGCAAACTGTGGCCTGCACTCTGCCGCTAAAGGAATGGAGAAAAACGCGTTGGCTATGTCGATGGTGGCGTACCACTTTGCTGTCTTGGACTCCAACTCGTATTGGAGCTCCAACATATCTGGTACGGCAGCACTCAACGGTGGCGTAACTTCATTTAAGCCACGATAGTCCACAGTCAGTCTCCACTCTCCATCGGATTTACGCACAGGCCAGATGGGGCTGTTGAAGGGTGAATGGGTTCTGCTGACCACCCCTTGGCTCTCCAACTTTCGGATCATTTTGTGGATAGGGATCACAGCATCTCGGTTTGTCCGATACTGTCGTCTGTGTACAGTTGTTGTGGCTATTGGCACTTCTTGATCTTTAACTCGCAGTAATCCTACAATGGAAGGGTCTTCTGAGAGGCCAGGAAGGGCAGACAATTGCTTGGACTCCTCTTCAATCACCGAGGCTATACCAAAAGCCCACCGGTACCCTTTCGGGTCTTTGAAGTATCCTCTTCTTAGGTAGTCCATACCAAGGATGCAAGGGGCTTCTGGCCCCGTCACAATGGGACGCTTTTCCCATTGGTCTCCTGTCAAGCTCATGTCCGCCTCTACTACTGACAATTCTTGAGACCCTCCGGTCACTCCAGAAATAGTAACAGTCTCGGTGCTCTTATACTCTGAAGGCATTACAGTACACTGGGCTCCAGTATCTATCAAGGCCTGGTATTTCTGAGGATCCGATGTGCCAGGCCATCGAACCCACACAGCCCAGTAAACTCGGTTATCTTCTTGGTCCCTCTCCTTCTCCTGGCAGAAGGCAGGGCCCCTCTACTGGTCTTGATCAGAGCATTCGTCGTCAGAGTTTGACTTTGACCTCTTAGACTTTTTGCTGTTGTCGAAGTGGACCTCCATCTTCTCGTGTTTCGGCGATCGCAGTTTCTCTTCTAAGAAATCTCCGTCTACTACATAGACAACTTTCTTGTCAGTCTTCTTTCGCTTCAGCTCCCTCACTCTAGCTTCAAGCTTAGAAGTGGGTTCACCATCCCACTTCTTCATGTTTTCTCCTTTACTACGAAGGTATGCCCATAGTTGGTTACGTGACCAACGCTTGGAGTTCTCTTTCCTTCGACGTGTGAATGACAGGGACCGTGAGCGAGATCGAGACCAGGATCGAGGTCTAGGCCGAGGTCGTCTTTGTCGGTCCCGCCGTGATCTTCCCATTGGCCTTTCTTGGTAGTCTCTATACCTTCTGTCCTCTCTGTCTCTAAGGTCGTCCTCATATCTGGAATATTCATAATCTCTCTCCATTCTTTCCCTATCGTAGGTGCGTCGGTAGAGGGGATTGAAGGAGTCTTCCATATTTTCCTCTATGGTTCTTATCCAAGTACACATGGTTTCCACGTTTGGTTCCTCCATCTTTGGATTATATGCGGATATCAAGCAGGAAACATATGGTTTAGGAGCACCTTGAATTACCTTTTTCCACATTGGTTGCGTGCAGGGAACACTCTCAGGAACTTGGATGTCATAATAATCTGGATCAGAATAGATGATCTCCAACATGGCCAATTCCCGTAGGTATTGGATGCCTTCTTCCGCAGTTCTCCACCTTCTTGAAGAACTCTTCAGGGACTCCTTAAATGGGTATTTCACTCTCACTGCGTGGAGGATTCGGAGCCAAAGGCTGGACGCCATTTTCTCTCTCCCCATTTCTTGCTCTATCACAGGGTCTCGAGCAATGGATCCCAACTGTCGTGCTTCATCACCTTCAATTACATGACTATCAGCTCCCTTGTCCCAGCATCGCACCAACCAGGTGAGGACTTCTTCACCAGGCAAGCGCATATAATCTCTCCGTAAATCTCGAAGCTCTCTTGTGGTCAGTGATTGTGTAATTTCACTTTCTCGCATTATTTCTTGTCCATCTCTCCCACGTAGAATCTTTTCCACCTCTCTCTTTACTCTTCCACTCCTACGTGGGACTGCTCCCACTTCCTCCCTATATCTCTCATGTGGAGGTGGAGACTGGGCATGCCGTGGGGATAAGCTCCTATATTGTTCACGCTGCGGAGGTGGATTTCTACGCCGTTCATACTGTGGGGATGGACTCCTACGCCGTTCACGCCGTGGAGATGGACTTCTACGTCGTTCATACCGTGGGGATGGACTCCTATGCCGCTCGCGCCGCGGAGATGGACTTTTGCGTCGTTCACGCCGTGGAGATGGACTTCTATACCAGTCATGCCATGGGGATGGACTCCTGTGTCGTTCGTGATACCCCGCGGGTGGAGGTAGTGAGTAATCTTTCACGTGCTGAGATAAGGGCCTCCTCCTCCAATCATTCACACCTCCAAGAGAAGGTTGGGTCTGGAGGGGTAGGGATAATTCCCCCTCCAATTGAGGGGGATGCTTTGGCTCCTTCTTTGCGTCTTTTGCAACACTGAATGTGTAGTCAGGGTATAAATCATCAAGCGACAATACACCACCGGCCGTTTGTACTGTTGCTTTCTTTCCCTTTGATGCCATTCTGTATTCCTTTGGTCGTGCCCCTAGTTCCTTTGGACGTGCTTCTTCCCGTGTAGCCGTTTCTTCCTCTTTGGTAGCTGCTTCTTCTCTTCCAATCGCTCCTTCCTCAGTCACAACCACTTCTTCCTCTCTCGCAGTCATGCCTTCATCACTTGCTGTCGCACCTTCATCACTTGCTCTTGCTCCTTCTCCCATTGCTGCTGCTCCTTCGTCCACTACGTCCTCTGTTCCTTCTTCTTCTTCTTCTTCTTCTCTTTCTTCTGTGCGTTCTAGTTGCGGAGATGGGTCCGTAAGTTCCTTGATCTCCCTTACCCACGTCTTCTTCTTCTTTATAGGGGCAATGATGACCTTCCGGTTCTTAGCTTGGGTCCCGGTTCTAGTGGACTTAGTAGAAATGGCATTGACTTCAGGTTGTGTTTGGACCCCGACTTCTGTGGACCTAATAGGGACATCACTGGTTTCAAGTGGCGTGGTTTGGGTCTCTGTGTCGACCTTAACCCTCTGAAGGTGGTCTATGGCAGCTCGATAAGCATTAGCCAGGCCCCAGCACAAAGCGGAGAATTGCATATTCGGGTTTTTGTAGGAAAAGCACCCTTCTGTCAAACAGCGGGCCATCTCACCAGAATCAAACATTTGTTCTGGTGTGAACTCCCAATTAATGGGGGGTGACACATGTCCTACTAATCTACCGAAATCTTCCCAAGCTCCATGCCACCCGGAGACTGGCCTGTCTGCAACCCTCTCCAAAGTTCCAGCGAGTCCCTTTGAGGTATGATCTTTCCTACAAGAGGGAAAGCAACGGAACCCCATTCTTCCAAGTTTAAGAAGCACTTCCAGTACCTTTATCAATGACAGTATGGTTGCGATGAGATTTACATAGTAATTAGAGCCGATTTTTACCATGGGGATCTCCTTTACCAAACCTTCGATGTCAAAATCAAAGGATGGAAGCAATTCGTTCCATCCATCCTCAAGGTCTGGACGTCTCCCTATAGAATAGCCTGACACAGGTGTAAAGGTGGCTAGAATTATAAGACCAATTAATGAAATAGCCATTGTTTTTGTTATTATTTCTTCCTGATCCCAAAACAAACTTTGTTTATATAAACAAGGTTTCCTTGGCTGCTTTCCCAGACTCTGGCAGTGTTCCCAGACCTGTTCCCAAAACAATAGATCGGTTTGCAAAACAACACTGAGCTTGGCTGTCTTCCCGGAGAATGTTTATCAAAACAAGCCAAGCTTAACCAAAACAACCATCCTCTGCTACCAAAAAAGTTGTACAAGTTTTGAGCTGGCTTCCCGCCAAGTCCCCAAAACTCAACAACAAGGACCCGCCTCCCAGAGAGGGAAAAGAGGGAAAAAAAACTAAGCAGCCAAAGCTATAGCAAATATATATGTATATATATATATATATTTTACATATGAGACAATACACAAAAGGAAAATACCACAGGGGGGGGGGTGGGGGGGGGGGAAAGGGAAGGGAAAGGGAGAGAGACAAAAAGGGGCAAGGACCGAGCAAGTCAAACAGCCAGCCGAAGGCAAACTAGCAGAACTCTCACCACTTCCCTTCGGACAGGCAGAATGACTTGACGCAGCCCAAGGCTCTCCTCTCACGCGAAGCGGATAGCGGCAGTCACTGTAGGCCTCGGCTCCAGATAAGCTCGACCGAAACAGGAACCCACCGTTCTCGAACCTCGCCGGAGAGGAAGAGGGCGCGATCCCTCCCACTGGCTTTATTTATACCCCCAGTTACGTAAAGGAATAGCATGGAATACTTCCGTAATCACTTTTCTAGTTCCTTCCTGGTTACAAGTTGGTCTCCAGGAAGGCCTAGGCTGTTTATTGTAATAGAAACTAACACAGACGTTCTTCAAAGGTACTGGTGTATTTCTGGTGCATAGGACATTATTTTGATGTTTTTTCCTTGCATCAGTAGAAATGCTTGTGTGTACTTTTAGGTCTGATTGTGAGCCTATTGCAAGTTTCCAGTGATTTTTATTGGAAGTTGTTTCAGATTTTGTAACTGTGTAAGGCAGATCCCTTTGTGACAAGCAATACCTTTAGAGGATGTGTATTGAAATGAGTATCCTTAAGACGTAGTTAAACATTTAAGATTGTTACATATTAACTTGCCCAGATACTAAGATTTGTTGTATTCTGTTTCCTTAGGTGGTGCTTACAGGAATTGGAGCAGATGAACAGCTTGCTGGGTATTCTCGACATCGTGTTTGCTTCAAGGAATACGGCTTAGAGGGTCTGAATAAAGAACTTGAAATGGAGTTAGGTCGCATTGCTTCCAGAAATCTGGGTAGAGATGACAGGATTATCGGTGATCACGGAAAAGAAGCCAGGTATTATTGTTTTAACATGAAGCAAAACTGGTTTTGCAGGTTAGATGCAGTTTCTAACACTCCAGCAAAAAGCTTAATTGAAACTTCTGTGTGTTTTATTCTCTACTTCTGTTGCAATTTTGCTAATGTGGTGTATTGTGTTGTGGAGTTTTTTGGTTTGTTTTTAAAAAAGGTAGCCTGTAGTACTGTGGAGGAATTACTTAAGGAAATTTAGTAACTTGACTTCCATCCAGAAGTGTGGCACTAAACCTGCATTATATGGGAAAATTGTGGTTTAAACAGGTTTTAAAATGGCTTTTGGTGGTATCTTTGCAAACACATGCTTCTTCCTCCCAGCACCCCCCTTGTTATCCATGCAGGAATGTCCTGGGAAGGTGTCCTGAGCCCTTCCTGTGATTGGGTGTTCCTGTAAACCCCTTGAGACTTCTAATTGGTTACTCTGTGAATCCTCCTAAACCCTATAAATGTAACATCCCCCACAATAAACTCTCTCTTGCCTCCTCTCCACGCCCGGTGTCCAGTGTCCTGTCTCCCTGCTGGCCATGGGGCCACGTGCGGGGAGGGGAGGGGGAGCACCTCTCCCCTCCAGGCTCAGGGCCTGAAAAAAACCCTGAGAAACCCCTGGAGTTTCCCTTTCCCCATCCCTCAAAACGTCACAATGGTTCTTCAGATGGAAACGGAACTAGAACTGGGCCAGCCCCACGCCGTGGATGGGGAAAGGGATCCAGACAGAAGTTTTAAGAAGCAGCCAAAGATGAAATAGGAAAAATCAAGTACAGTTTATCATTTTAAGTGGAACACTCTTGTGCACAACTTTGAGGTGTTCTTGTGTGGTCGTTTGGGGATTGACTTAGGAGAACGACAACATAATGTAAAAGCTGGGTGTTCTTGTCCATGCCATGACAATATCCACTGCATTTCCTGGTGTTAAATCTGAATAGTTAAAAAATCCTTTTATTTGTGTTTACTTCCTTCATGCTACCACAAACTTGCAAAAAATTCCCTAGTTGTTGTCCAGTAGCAGAGGGCACTTGGGTGCATGAAAGGTTTTTTCCTGTGATCTTAGTGCCAGTGTTTTTCCAAATCTGTTCTTAGTTGCACATTTTCAGTGTAGCACAAGAGCAGTTGCAGTGGTGGACAGGCAATGCTGTTAATCATGCATGGGATTAGGTATGAATGCCTGGAATTCAGAATAGTGTCAGAATTTGTTGTGTAAATATTTTTATTTCAAAGTTACAGTGTAGCTTCACACAGTAGTTTTAAATACTTAGGAGTTATCTTGAGAAGTGTGTTACTTAAAGATTTGTCTTGCCCTTCTGTTGTAGTTTCTGATGTTCTTCATGATTTTTCTTCTGTATAAACACACCATTTCTGATCCTTGTTTTTACTGTTCTCTTTGGTTGACTTTTGAAAACTTCCAGGCTCCTGAGTGTAAACGTGATATATTATGGGCTTTCTTTCTCCAGGACAGTGTAACTGCTTTGGAGAACTGTCTCAGTACTGTTATACTAAGATTTAAGGTACATCTATAGTTAGGAATTGACACAGACTCTGAAATCTTTGCATGTGGTAAAAGGAAGGGAAAACCAAAACCACTTGGATGAAATTTTTAAAAGGTCTTTTCCCCACGCGTATCTTTCTTTCAGGTTTCCTTTTCTTGATGAAGATGTTGTTTCATTCCTCAATTCTCTGCCTGTCTCAGAAAAAGCTGACTTGACTCTTCCTCGAGGAATGGGTGAGAAACTGCTCCTGCGCCTTGCAGCCCACGAGTTGGGCCTCACAGCCTCCACTGTTCTGCCAAAAAGGGCCGTACAGTTTGGATCTCGGATTGCAAAACTGGAGAGCCACAGGGAAAAAGCATCTGACACGTGCAGCAGGCTGAAGTTATTTTCAGTAGGTGAATTATAGAACTACATCTTGAGATATATCTAGTCTGTTTGCAAATGCAGTAAATCTTTGGAGTTTTCTTAGGATGTTTGGTCTGGTTTTTTTATGCACTTGGACTTTATTATTATTAATCATCAAGCTAATACACGTAGGTGTGTACTTTTACTAGAGACTCACTATGAATTCATCCCTGGAGGGAAGGGAATACTGGGCTCTGGGGAAGAGAAAATAGCCAGAAGTTGGCTTTCCCACCCTTCCTGATATCAGTGTTACCAAAATGTTGAGTCTGTCCAATTTGTCACATATATTGAATTCAGTACATTGCTTCGTGGTAGAACAGGGCTAGTGCTGCAGCTGTGCTTTAGAAGGTTTGGGTTATGGTTGTGGAAGGAAGGGCATGGTGAGGAGCTGGCTTGGGTTGCCAGAGCCAAAAAAGAGCTGAGGGTCTGGGGTCTTGTCAGCTCTTGGGAGATCCGCCCTCCAGGCATCATCAGAAAACAGACATCACACACATCCTCTGGGTGTTTTGGGGCCATCCTGTACAACCTCCCAGAACTGTGGCCAGTTCTGCAGGGATGGGTTGGTTGGCAGTCCCCAGCCTGGGGCTCCCTATGTTCCCAGAGAAACTGGGAAGTTCCCTCCAGGCTCTTCTTAGTCCGTTGTTGACTCCCTAGCTTGTTCTGTCTCTTTTTAGCTTTAGCTCTGCCACTTTTGCTTTTAATTGTGTCCTTCAATGAAGATCTCTTTTAAACAAATCAAAAAAAGGTCTCCCTTGGAAAAAAAATAAAAAAAGGCACTCTGGGTGGGTATGTGGATGCAACCATGGGGTTGAAATAGCAATATGAATGGACTGCCTCTGAAGAAAAGCTTGAGTTAGCTTGTCTTTCTAATTGTGTATGGAAGGATTGCATTGTGATTAGCTTTACTGAACTTCTGTATAAAAAAAAGAGAAATCTAAAAGGCACTGTCTCTATACCCCAAGTTTTAATTTTGTGTAAGGAAGAACAGGCTTCTTACACCAGCAGCAGAAAATTGGGTACTGCTGAAATTCAGCTGCACTGGCACAGCAAACACATCTGTTGGGTGTGTGAAAATCTGTGCAATCAACTGTTCTCTGCAATCATGGAAGTCAGGATTTTTTTTAACATGTAGAGTCAATTATAAACTTCATATGAATTATATATTCATAAGTTATCATATATAAATATATTAATTTATTATAAGTTATGAAGTGTAAACAATGGAGGTATTTTCATTTGTGTAAGTTTGTATTTATTAGAAAGTGCACTTTTAATTTTTTTTTTTCAGTTGTTTTAATACCAAGAACACTTAGTTGTGGAATAGTAACTGGAATCACTCTGGTGATAGGACACAGCATTTGTTTCTCTGACAGGTGATTTTCAACCCTGGTAAAAAAAGTACTGTCAGTAAACATAACAGCATTGGAACAGTTTTTATTGAACAATTTATATTTGCATTTACTAAGTTACTTTTTAAGATGCCAACCATCGTATCTGTTTTAATTTTGGCACCTTGATGGAATCTTCTTCAACTCTTTTGGAAATATCAATTCCAAGGGGAGCTCTAGAAAATAAAATCATGTATCTGTTAAAAATAACATCATTGCCATATCACACAGATGTACAGCTTCACAGACCCTTTTTACAATTACAGTCACAGTATTTCTGCACGTTCCCTGCACCATTAAAATGGTCTGCCTGAAGCTGTACTTAGAAACATCTTTACACTGAAGAAATATTTGCATTTCTAGCGATTCCAAACTCGGGAAACACAGTTGTGGTTTCAAAGCCATCTTTTGGGGATGTTGTTAGATTACAGTTTTAGTTGCTTTGCAGCTAAACTGCTTTACATGCAACTGATGAATGCAAGATGCACTAGAAATCTACAGGTACCTCTTTCTATGATAATCTTAAATAATGTATTTTCTACAGCAAGTGAAACTTAGTATTTTATTCATTGACATGTATACAGCAAGTTATTTTTGAAGAAGAGTATCTTATAATTTTTCATGTGAAAATTATAATACAATTTTTTTTTTGTACTGAGACCGTCCAAGTCTGTTTTCCTGAAAATGGAAAGGGAAAAAAAACCTGAAAAAAAGCCCAAGTTTAAGAGCAGCTGGTACTTTTGAATTATTAGAATTTTGTTTGGCCTTAAGTATAAGATCTATTTAAATCCATAGAGCAAGTGTTACCTAACTGGTTGTTAAAAAAAAATCAGTATTATCAGTTAAAAAAAAAAAAGTATTATCAGATGATATATGTTAAATTCTTCTTTTAATTGATTGCTCATTATGAATACACAGTTGGACTTGGAGCATGTTGACTTATGCCTGTGGTGACTGAGAAGCTAAGGGAGAGTACTGCAGCTTAACTGGCTCCAGTTTTCCTGTACCACAGTGATAGTGGGAAAACACACAGAACTGTTATGATGTACGGTAATTTAAGTTTCTGAGCCAAACTGCACATTAATGATCATTTGTATGTCACAACTACATTGAACAGTAACTTTTATAAGCGTTGCAAAGATGCTCCTCAGCAGCTTCTGCCACTTTTTAGTGTAACCTCCTTCCCCTTTCACTGAGCACAGGGAACAGACTGTGACTGAGCAGTCACTTACTTGGGTTCGTAGCGGATGCCATCGGTCCCGTGGAGAACACCAAGTCCTGCACGTAACCTTTCAATGCCATTCCTGGGCAAGAAAGCAAATGACAAATACATAAAATATTTGTCATATCTCTCTGAATATGGCACGTGGTTCAGTCACCACGAACAGAAGTTCTTGACCCTGATGTCAGCTTTTAAAGAACGTTATAGAAGCACATGCAAAGAGAAACAACTCTTACCATGCAATCATTACACCGTTATCAGTGCACAGTCTTGGAGGAGGACACAGTAAAGCAAAATCGTTTGCTTCTGCCAAATTCTGTAAACCTTTTCGGATATACTGATTACTTGCAACTCCTCCTGATACAACCTGACAGCAGTGACAAAAAAAGGCATTAACTCAAAAGTACTGATGGGTCACACTCAACCAGCATCCTGTTTAAAAAAGAGGTTATCAGTTCTGAAGACAGCAATAAATAATGCATTTGAAGATTAAAACATATCAGAAAGGAGGATGCTAAGTGAGCTCGTTATGCTAAAAGACATTCCTGAATAAAAGCATGTCAGTCTAGTGGAAGGAAGGTTGGAACTAGATGATCTTAAAGGTCCCTTCCAACCCAAACCAGTCTATGGTTCCACTGGAGCTACAACAGCCATCAGTATTGAGGAGCACAAGGTCAAATTATGTGGCCTAAGGTGTTAGGGGAGGTTAAATTAGATGGTAAGAAAATACTTTTCTAGCTTAAAACCCAACTATGAAGGACTTCATTGTAAATATTTATATCACTATTACTTCAATCCTGGTGTTTTAACAATGTAATGCACACTGAGATCTTCCTCACCTGTCAAGGCAGGAAGTACAACAAGGCATCTGCATCTTCAAATGATGTTACATAGTCAAATAGAAAAAGGAAGAAGAATCATACCCACCAAGGCTGCATTTTTTGGTGGCAGGATGCTATTTTTGGTGCAGAACAGCATGGCCCGGTAGGTGCGCTGGATGAGGTGAACAGCCACCGCGTGCTGGACGGCAGCGGCAACATCCCCAACGCAGGACAGGATCTCACCTTCCTCAATCCCTACAAAAATGTACAGTCAAAGGGGTTTTCCTGAGTCTGGGTCATCAGAAACATGGTTTATACCTGACTGTTTAAAAATACCTTCTTCTTTTTCTTTTTGTGCAATGGCATTGTTGACAAGGTTCAGAAGTCCAGAAAAAGAGAAGTTGCAGTTCCGATACTGGTTCATGGGCAGGCGGAACACGAGCTGTTCCTGGTTCCCAGTCTGAGCCAAGTGCTCTATTGCCTGCCCCCCAGCCATGCTGTGGCACTCTGGGTGCTTTCTCAAAGACAGTCTTCTTGCCACCTGAGGAGAGAATAAACAACAGACTTGAAATCAGTTCCTCCTGTAACTGCACCACTGTATAGGAGAACATGGAATAAATCTGGACACCACAAAATCCAATCCAATGTGAAATAACAAACAGGGCACAGTAAGCACAAGATGTAACACCAGCTGGATTTTTTTTCCCTGGAATATTTAGAAATGCAATTCTAGAACAATTTGGGCAAACATGAGGATCAACAAATTTTGCAGGACACATTAATTACTCCCATTTTCAAGCTATAGGAAACACAGACTGCCATAGTGTACTACCAGATACACAGGAATAAAGTTGGTTTCAACTTTAGATGGTCCCCTTTCTGGCTCTCCCAATTTTTTACTTAGTATGCACAAATACTGTTTAAAACTCTGTGTTTGAGAACAAAACTCTAAGCGACCAACTTCACAGACTGTACTCAGTGACCCAGAAAACTTAAGATTCTGAAAGCCAAACCATGCTTTTCAAACTGTAAGCAATAAAACTAGTATGAAATGTTTTAATTTGTATTGTTTTAAACCTGACAGCATCCTTTAAAATAGCACTGTCAGTCTTCTCAAATTCATACAATTTGTTTGTTTAACGGTGTCAATGAAACTTCCAACACCACTTTCAGTTGTTAGGCTGCCTATTTACTAAAAGTATAATCAATGTACATATGTTACAATTGATGTTATGTGTACATTTTTAACAGACTCTTGTGTCTGTTCAAAATAGAAAAAACCCTTGTTAAGTGAAGCTCATATTACACTGGATTACTATCCTTGGGCTGATGATAATACTACCATTATGTAGTATAAATGCAATTAAAAAAAGAAAAAACTAGGTTTACTTATGTAAGGAAATATTACCTTATCCAGCATGTCACCTGGTGCAACATCTATGGACTGTCCAAGCAGAAGGAAATCTGACACTCCCTGTGCTACTGCCAGGATACAGTGGCCTCCAGAGACCAAAAGAACCAAGAAGGGAAAGTCCAGGTGATGTGTGAGCCTGACGGTCAGAGCGTGAGCCTCCATGTGATGGATGGGTATGAACGGCTTCTGGTGCCTGTTCACCAAGGCCAGGCTGTACTCCAGCCCCACCCCAAGGCTTAGAGCAAGTCCAGGTTTCACTGTAGTTGCAACAGCTGCAAGCTCAGGTACAGAAACGCCACTGACACGAAGAGCCTCTTCTACCACTCGCTCGATGTTTTCTCTGTGAAGCTGCTGTGCCACCACAGGAATTATTCCACCTGTTCTAGTAAAACCAAAGAATTACAATCCATTGGTGTTTCACAACAGATAGAATGGCGTAAAAATAGTTTTCAGGCACCTCTTAACCTTGCCATATCCTGCCTGTCTCCTTAGTGCGTTCTGAAATGCCTTGTTTAGTGTAAAGGGCACTGAAGAGAGCTAAATTATCACTAGGAGGTCAGAAAATGATGTAACCTGCCCTTTTTGGTACAGATACTTCTTAAATGCATCTCAACACTGTTCCAAAGCAATGTAATGTCATATTCACAACTCCTCGCTTATTAGTTCAGGTTCTTAGCCACCAATGCTTATATTTACTTTCACTTAAAAACACTGAGACATTTGGTGGTCTTAACAGTAACAACGATTTCATCTCATTTCTTCATTTCAAGCTAGAGAGGTAATCTGTCCCCCTCTGAAAGAAAATACTAGAAGAAACTTTTTAAATGCACAACATTTCTTTCTTCCCCCTTAGTACTGTCTCAAGCAGTAAGTATTGTGGCCCAAGGGATTTGTCTTCCCACTTACCCACTTCTTACTGATTTTTATGGAGCAGGGAAGATGTATATGGATGATATTGCAAGTAATAATACCAATAAAAGTTATTAAGGGAAAAGCCTTCAGAGAAGTATATTCTTACTGTAAATGGACTTCCTTCTGACAGTGCAGGGCTTCTCCCAGGACACAGCCGGCATCATCCACCACAGCAGCACCCGT